GCATAATTATGAACCCTTTTTTTCAAGGGAAATTATTTAATCCCTTGATTTTTTTCCCCTTAATTTACCCTTCATTAATCACTAATAAATTTTAGTCATTTAATTAAAATAATGTAAGTCCTAAATAAAATATTTCAAAATTACTTAAAAAATGATATAAAAATAAATTACATTTAGATATTCAATATCATATTTATATGATTTCTATTGAATCATCAATAATATATGTTAATAATGAATGATATTATATTCACGTGTTTTAAAATCCAGACATCTAACAATCAATTTCCTTTTGATCGATAATATTAATGTGTTTTTTGGTCGATTTCATTTTGTATTGTCTATAACATGACATACACGTTGGTTTGTATCCTATACACAATCACATATGATTCAATAAACTTGAATGAACATAGCTGTTGTGTCATCATTTACAATATCACATGTGATTGTACATATGATCATGATACTGGTACATGATCCTATACATGATCACATGTGATTGTGTATGTGATACCGTACATGATCACATGTGAGTATACATAAAACCACTTTTAATCCTAGAAAAGATATATATGAATATGAGTGTATGAAAAGATATATAAAAATATGAGTGTCAAATTAAAGAGAAATGAATGTTTTTTTTTTGGAATATTTTGTTTAATTCCCATTTCTACCAAATTTTAAATATTTTATCTATTTTTTAAAAAATAAATACCTTAAATAACTTATAATGAATTAAATGAGTTTTATGTCCTTATTATTCATTTTTTGGAAAAAAAAATTATTTGATCACAATTCTTGTTTAAACCCGATAGAACAAGTTCCCCTTAGTCACTGCTATAGTTGACTCAGTATCAACCCTTTCTTCCAGATACGCATATACACATTCTGTGTATATATAAAACATAAAGGTAAAAATTGATTTGACTTTATTTTAATTAGTCACCGGAATTGAATTTTTTGTTAAAATTTGTTTGATCCAAATAAACAAATTATGCCAACGAATCAAATTTTAAAAAGGATAATACGACAAAGGTTGACTTTTTTGAAGCAGGTTAAGGTTGACTTTTTACATTTTGTTCAGGAATTTAAGAAAAAAAAAGAGTAGATGGAAAATAATGAGAAATAAAATCAAATAGAATCATAGGAACTTGAGATAGAAATGGTATATTTATCTTATAAAAAATTGTACAAATTAAGATCTAACTGCTAAATATATGAAACTTCGTTATTTTTTTTTATTTTTCTTAACATTTTACTTGTTAACCAGTATTATAAGTCAAAATGATCAATTTAATCAGTTTCAATAAGTATAATGATTTATTTATTTAAAAGAATATTTAGAAATTTTATTGTTCTAAATATGAAAGTTATAAGTAGATTAATTTTTTCAGAGTTCCAATTTAAATAAAGTAATTAAAAAAATATTTGGTATTATTTTTATCGTTCTGATATAAGTCAAATATTTTTGTATTGGACCAAATTACTTATCGTAGTGTTTTTTTCCCCATTGCCTTAAAAAACGTTAAAATTGAGTAGGGGTATTCATCTACACACCATACAAACCGTCCATACTGTAAAATACAATTTGTAACTCTCGTGATGCGCTTTACAGTTTGTATTTTCATCAAACTGCACCGCATTGGATATTATATATATATATATATATATATATATATATAGTTATATACATATTTAAATATATACGAAGAATCGTGTGAGAATAAGAGTTAAGGTGAGAAGTGTAAGAAGATATTTGCACTCTTGATCATTACTATTGATTTAATATATCTCATTTGTGTTGATCTAACGATTCACTTCAATTATAACTGATTCAAAGATAGAGATCCCTTCTCACCATAACTTTAAATCTCACAAGAACCCAAACCCATATATATATATATATATATATATATACACACACACACACATATATAGTCATTTATCAAATGAAAATAGTTAATACATCAATGACTATTAACTTATTAGTTTTTTCAGTTTTCCTTTTAAGTTTTTACGTTACAAATTTTTTATTTGAGTTATTTTTATTTGTCTTTTGTCAAACATTAATCGTGGTCGAAATTGGGTTTTTGTTAACTTTTAAGATTTACTTGGATAAATCACCAAACTATTTGGTTTTTACACTTTTTTTTACTTATGCATTTCGTACATATCGAAAGTTTTTATTATATGGAATATCAGAGCAACATCGTCGAATTTATTTTAAAGTTGTGATTTTATAATAATTTGACTGAAATATATTATGTTCAAACCGCATAAATTATACCGTACTGTATCGCACTTTGTGGTATTATTTTTTACGATTTAAAACATATAATATATGATTTATGATTTGCAAACCTTATACACAATATGATTTACAGTTTAACTCTAAACCACATCAAATCGCAATAGAAACACTCCTCAATTTCGTTCAATACAAAGATGTTTGACTTTTACAAATAAGCTGACTTTTTGAGAGGGAAGTAGAGTGTGACACTGTAGAGTCAACAAGTCAAATTAGTTTTTGTAGACCCATCTTTTACACATAGTCAACATACTCTAAATACACATTAATTATAAAGTAATTTATATTTATAAAAAAATATTATTATAAAGTAATTTATATTTATATATTTTTTAAGAAAATTATTTAATATTTATATTTAACTAATACATATATAAGATTAGATTTCGATGAGAAATAAAGTTATAGTGAGAAACATAAGAAGAGATGTATACTTTTGAATTAATCTTCAAAGTATATCGAGATGCATCAGGTGATTCTCTTCTAAAACATAATTCATGGATGAGTATGAGATTAAAATGGTTCAGATCTTCTCTTACGTTTCTCACCATAATTTTCTTCTTACACGGTCCTTTGTATATATATATATACACACATATATATATATATATATATACACACATATATATATATATATATATATATATATATATATAACCAGAAAAAAAATTAATGACACATGCTATTATTTGAAACAATAGTGGATGATAATAATTAACTCTAACTATTACTCCATGCTTGATATAAATTGCAAATAATTATATATGCTTGTTGTATAATTATATAATGATATAAATTATTATTTCACTGAAAAAAAAAGTTATGGATATAATAATAATATAAGAGTATGATTAAAAATATATATAAATTAGGAATAAAAGTATCTCTAAAATAAAGAAATAAATATTTTATTTTTATTTTACTTTAACATATGTTTTTAATATTGTTTATTTAAAATAGAAAATAAGTAGAGAACACTCGAAATTTAACAAATCTCTAAAATATAATGAGGGGAGAGAGAAATGATATTTTTATTTTTTTCTTCACCAAAAGTTATTATTATTTTATATAAAGTTTTTTTTAAATATATTGAGATAATAATATTATATAATACTTTAATAATATAATTAATGTTGAAATCTTTAAAATAAAAAAATCTATTAAAGTTGAATATAATTTTTTTTTTAATTTTGACTTTTAATTATTTACAATAAAAAATATAAAAAATATGTTAAAGATGCTCTAAGGAATATACTTACAATATTCTATTTATCATTTAAATTCTTATAATAATTAGTTGACGACGAACAACTTTTTACATTATTTTCGTTGAAGAAATGTTACAAACGACTAAAATTGGTTTGACCAATTTCTTCCCGTTCAATCAATTTATAATAATAAGATCAAACGAGAACAAAGAAAATGAAAATACCATGATTTTATATTAAAATCACATGTGATTATGGAATATGATCAACATAGAGGTGTATAGGTGACTTGACCCGCTTCCTAAATTGCAAACAAAAGTCAAACGTAATCTTATATGATTTTACATGTGATTTTTAGTATAGTACATGTGATTTGTCGTTTTTATGTTATCTTATTTGATTACGGTTTTCATTGTACCGAATATATATTATAGACTTGGGATCATGTGAGCCCGATCTGTTTTCGTAAGACTCGTAAGACCATCTTTTTACACTTGAAACTTCACAACAAAAATTTGTGAATGTAACTTTTACAATGTTTTTGTTATGAATGTTCGTTTTTTTTTTTATCTTCACAATGTTTTGTCGTTATGTTTCAAGTATAAGAATGCAGTCTTACGAAAACAAGCTAGTCTCAAGTGAAACCAACCCTAACATTATGAAGGTAAAAAAACTCGAACCTTCGCAACAAAAACATTGTAAAGGTAACATTCACAATGTTTTACTGTGAAGTTTCAAGTGTAAGAAAAAAAATTATCTCACGGATTTCACAAAAACAATTCGATCTCACGTTATCCTATATATATATATATATATATATTATAATATGTTTATTAGGGTTTTTTTTATTTGTTTCAAATTTTAAGCTGACTTTGATATGAGAAACGCATGTATCCTCGAATGAATTAATGCCACGTGTGTGAAACTGCCAAGTAGGTCAAAGAGGAGTCAATCGGTTTCCTCTTCCCCCACCCTCACTGTATTTAAGGTCTCATTTACCACCAACCCAACCAAAATTATATCTCTTTACAACAAACACTGGGAGCTTCATATCAGAAATTACACCCAACACCGGTAACTTCATTGCTCTCTCTCTCTCCCTCTCTCACACACACACACACACTCGCTCTCTCTCACTAATGTGTGTGTGTGTGTATATATATATATGTAATGTTTCAACTTTAATGGTCGTTTTGGGCTTGGAATACAAGACCTTGAATGTTTTCTTCTTTAAACGGCTAAAAAAAACTCAAAATCTGCGTATTTGTTTCATGGTGTAGAGTCCAAAACAATGTGGTTAAGTTGTCTTCATTTTTGTGTATTTTTCTCATAATTTTTTGTGGGTTTTTGTGATTGAAAATCCCTTTTAATTTTGCATGTAGCCAGATAACGATTTTCTGACATTTTTAGTCCAAGTCTTTGAAGTGAAATCCATATGGTCTCGATCGATCTTTCCGATTTTCTTTTTTTGTAGAAGAAAGATGTTCGGAGATTGTCAAGTGATGTCAAGCATGGGTGGTGGAAGTGGGATTTCATCTGAATCCATTTTTCCTAACTTCAACTTCATGCCTTTCACCGATTTCTCTTCCATCATCCCAGTAATCTCTCTCTTCTCTCTCTCTCTCTCTCTCTCTATATATATATATATATATATGTATATGTGTGTGTGTGTGTGAATGTTGGTGATTATTTGCAGAAAGAGGAGATGGAGAGCATGGTGAGATCAGGGAAAGAGGAGATGGACAGTGGTGGGTCGGGAAGCGATCAAATTGAAGGAGGATTGTCTGGAAACGATCAAGATGCTGATCAACAGCAACCCCCTGCAAAGAAGAAGCGTTATCACAGACACACCGCTCACCAGATCCAAGAAATGGAAGCGTATGCGTCTATCTTTCAGTCTTTCCATCTTAATTTCCTTATATTTATATATATATATATATATATATATATATTCTAAAGGTTTGACTTTTGTTGTTGTTGGTTTTGGATAGGTTGTTTAAGGAATGCCCACATCCAGATGATAAGCGAAGGATGAGATTAAGCCAAGAACTTGGGCTTAAGCCACGCCAAGTCAAATTCTGGTTCCAAAATCGTCGTACCCAAATGAAGGTGCGCACGTTAGCATCCATTCTTCTTCTAGTTTGCTTGGTTTGACTTGACTTGGCTGGATGTAATACATGTTCTCATTTTCATGGAGAAACCTAAAATTTAATGCCAACCGTGAAACGTACATAAACCAAAACCAGCACAGATTTCAAGAAGACGTGTTTTGATTCATCTGTATGTATATGTATATGTGTGTATATATATATATATATATATGTATGATGTGTTTGTACTTTACAAGCAAAGATTGCATATTAGTATAAAATTAAAACTGTTTTTGATTTTTATTTGTATTAATTAATTTGTAAACTGTTTTTTAAACCACAAAAAAATAAAAATAGGATCAAGCTTCTAATTTATAATAAATTATTTGTGAATTAATTTTAGTGTTTTATTAAAATATATGAGTTTTGTTTTGATAACCATGGATGTTCGATCGATATCTTATGTTGTGTACCATAATTAATCAGATGCGGTACCGAAGAAAATAGTCACGAATATATTAGAACTTGTAATTAATAGATAAAAGTTATATATAAGGATTTATCCTTTCACATTTGTAAGTCCAAAATCATTTAAGGCATACATTATTGTGTTTTTTTTTTCTGGATTTTAAAGCTTAATTTCATTAAAGACAAATACATTTGTTTTACTTGATTTAAAAAGTAGCTAAAAATAAATTGTAACACTTTATAAACCATAAAAAAACCCAAATCAAGTTTTTTCATTACATGTAAGGAGGATGTGTGAGTTTATTTGTTCTATTTGCGGTATATAATATTTTATATATCTAAAAAAAATACCCAAATCAAGTTTTTTCCTTAAAATATTATTATTTTTATAATCTGATTTTGTGTTTTTAATTAAAACATATCTAACTATAAAACACCCATTTCCCATCTAATTTTTCATTTTTCTTTATTAATATATGTATAATTATTATGAAATCTGTATCTAATAAATGTAACAGTAACATTTCATCTTGAGCACTTGAAATATGGTGAAACTTGATTGAGAGGGGGTTGGGCATGGTTGGCTGAAAAGCGCACGTTAACCACAACCATGCGCTTGGGTGACTGTAGAGATGCATTTACTGAAATTGGTTGCTTTCAACCTGCATTCCATTAATATACGCTGGTGGGGTGCACGGTCAACCCCTATACCTCCTGCAACATGAGCCTCCCAAGGGGAGCACACTCTTTAAATATATATCCTTTTAGGGTTAGGGTTATTATCAGCTTCCTTCACTCACTACTTGTTACTATACTAATATTTGTGACTCATCACTTCATGGGCTCCATTGCTGTGTGGTATTATTGACCTTGTGTGTGTGAGTGTCACCTGCCCTACTGCATTTATTGCTTGTACATTGTGCATTATTACTTTTACATCGAGTTGTCGAATAGACGTGGTCGGGCTCAATTGGTTTTGTTTTCGTATATTTGATAGTTGTGTATGTCTAAGTCAACTTATACGCATCTCAACTAATCCTCTAGATTCTAAAGTTAATAGCTAAAGGACTATTGACCTTTGGAAAGCAAACTCAAGTTCTTGACTGAGCTACCCTTCAGGGCTATGTTTTGTTTAGGCATCTAATATATTATGGTTAAATTTTTGTTATGTAGGCACAACAAGATCGGGCGGATAATGCCGTCCTTAGGAACGATAACGAGAATTTAAGAATTGAGAACAGTCGGCTACAGAATGCGTTGCACGCGCTTGTTTGCTCAAACTGTGGAGGGTCTACGATGTCGTTTGATGAGCAACAACTTCGAATGGAAAACGCTCGGCTCAAAGAGGAGGTACCTAATCTAGAGTCACTTCGGGGTTCAGTTTCGCGGTCCCCAATTGCTTTATTAGCAACTAATTATTGTTACATTATGCATTTCAAAAATTAAACCGGAATCAATTGTGTTTTTCGCAGTTGGATCGTGTCTGTCTTATTGCTAGTCAATTCTGTGGGAGTGATCCTTTGCAAACACAAGGACAGGGTCCTCTCCCTTCATTGATGACCTCTAATCAGCTGGATTTGGACATGAATATGTATCCCAGGCCAAATGATCAAGAGGGCATGCCAAACTGCAGTGAAATGATGCAGATGAATCCTTTAATGGCACCTGAAGGTCCCAATTTTGCTGCTGCTAATGGGTTAATCATCATGGATGATGAAAAACCTCTTGCAATCCAATTTGCGCTATCATTCATGGATGAAGTTGTTAAGATGTGCAGGTTTGGTGAACCCCTTTGGACCAGGGTTAATGATGCTGGCAAAGAAGTGCTTAATTTTGAAGAGCATGCCAAGATGTTTCCATGTCTGATTAACCGGAAAACGGATTTGAATGAGTTGAGATATGAAGCATCGCGTAGTAGCTCAGTTGTGATCATTAACAGTATCACCCTGGTTGATGCTTTTCTTGATGCAGTATGCCACTTGTTTATGCTAGATTATTTGTGTTTTTCTTGTTCAGAAATGGATATTGTGTTCACTAATTTCTTGGTTTTAATCTTCCCCAATTCGGGTGTTTTAGGATAAATGGATGGAGTTGTTTCCCTCAATCATCTCGCGCGCGAAAACCCTCCAAGTTATCACTTCTGGTGTTAATGGAAACGCAAATGGTTCGCTGCACCTGGTGCGTTTATGTGTTTAATTCATATGACCTTGCTGGAAATCGATCAAAACAGTGGATCTTTTTGTGAGTTTGATCAGCAAATTATATGATTTCTTGTTACATTCTTTTTGTTACAAACAGATGTATGCTGAACTGCAAATGCTATCACCACTTGTGCCAACGAGGGAAATTCATTTCCTCCGTTATTGTGCACAAAATGGCGAAGATGGAACTTGGGCTATCACTGATTTCCCGTTGGACAGCTTTCACGATACTTACCAGCCCTCGCTTACTAGATACAAGCGTCGCCCCTCAGGCTGCATTATACAAGACATGCCTAATGGCTATTCAAGGGTGAGAAATCTACTACCATATCAATATTGATCTTGTTATATATATATATATACTTGTGAACTCATATGAGGGTTTTCACGGAAATAACTGTTCTACTTTTAAGATAGAGATCAAGTCTTCATAAATCTAATTACCCTCCCAAACCCCACCTCCGGATGGGATATAGATACTAGGTCCATTTGGTTTGGTTTGGTTTGGTTTGGTTTTTATGTACTTATGAGCCCTCTTTTTGGATTTAGGTTACTTGGGTTGAACATGCTGAGGCTGAGGATGAGCCAGTTCATGGGATCTTTGCTGATTATGTCAGCAGCGGGATGGCATTTGGAGCGAAACGATGGCTAGCTGTTTTACAACGCCAATGTGAGAGGCTCGCAAGCCTTATGGCCCGAAATATATCTGATATTGGAGGTACTCTTTACCAAACTTTGACAAACATTAATTTCATATATGCTATACACTCATCATCTGATAATCTAGGGTTACATTTTTAATCTTGTTTAACTGATTAATCTTGCTGATCAATAAATGGGAATAATTGTATGTTTACAGCCATTCCATCACCGGAGGCAAGAAAGAATTTGATGAACTTGGCTCAGAGGATGGTGAGGATGTTCTGTCTTAACATCACCGGGTCGTGTGGGCAATCTTGGACTGCACTTTCCGACTCAATGGAGGACACGGTGCGAATAACGACCAGGAAAGTCACTGAACCAGGCCAGCCCCATGGCTTGATTCTGACCGCGGTATCCACAACGTGGCTTCCTCATCCTCACTATCAAGTCTTTGATCTTTTGAGAGATGAACGCCGCCGTTCTCAGGTTCGTGAATACATCAAGTTTTTCATATTATATATACATTTCGATTTTGTTCTAATTAACCTGTTGTGGTTTATTGTATGATGATTAACTTCAGCTTGATGTGCTCTCAAATGGGAACCCGTTGCAAGAAGTGGCTCACATTGCAAATGGCTCTCATCCTGGAAACTGTATCTCTCTTCTTCGTGTTAATGTAAGCTTATCTTGGAACACTTTTATGGAATTATGAAAAATTTAGCAGATTTATTTTGATAAAAATATAGCAACATTTTCTTCTATCTTGTAACAGGTGGCTAGCAATTCATCCCAGAATGTTGAGCTGGTGTTGCAGGAGAGTTTCACTGATGATTCTGGTAGTCTTGTAGCCTACTCAATTGTGGATGTGGATGCCATCAAACTTACCATGAATGGTGAAGATCCATCATGCATCCCTCTCCTCCCCCTAGGGTTTGTTATTGTCCCGGCGGGACAAAACCCTGCAGGCAACCTCAGCTCCACCAGCGCCACCACCAGCATCGGGAACACAACTGAATCTGGAGGAGGCTGCCTACTGACTGTGGGACTGCAAGTGCTGGCCAATGCCTTACCCACTGCAAAACTCAATCTCTCGAGTGCCAACACTGTTAACAACCATATACAAAGTACAGTGCATCAAATCATCGCCGCCCTTGGTGGGGTTGCCGGTAATAACGGCATTGGTGGTGGTGGTGGTGGTGGTGGCCACAGTGGGAGTCAGTGTGCTGATGATGGTGATAATGGTGGTGGGTTTGATGAACAACCAACTACTAGACCACCCAAGAAAGTTGATTCCAGCCCAACTTCAAAGGTTAATTAAACTATTAATTAACCAAAAACAGACTATTATATAGTATTATGGTTTCCTTTTCTTCTTATTTTTTAAGCCAAAAAACTTGAAAAAAAACCATGGATGTGCAAGCAAGTGTGGTTTGTGTATTGAAGTAGGGTAGGGTTAAAAGGGTAAAAATGTCAAGTTAGATGACATTATGGTGTTTCTGATCAAGGGTCAGAGTGTGTAATGAAGAAGGTGGTTGGTAGGTAGAAAGAGAGTCTGCAACATCAATCAATGGAAGAAGGTGGTGGGGGAGAAGGTGCATGGTAACAGGGGTAGTCAAGAGCGCACCAGATAAGTTCCTTGGATGACCTTTTAGGGTTTTGGGACTAAAGCAGTCAGCATCAAGGATAATGGTTCGGGAATTGACTTTCTTTGCTTTTTGTGTTTCCCTTTGACTTGAAATCATTTTGGAAGTTTCCATTGACTGAATGTTTTTGATGACTTTTATTATATATGATATAAAATATTTCATCTTTTGGCTTCGTTACATATTTATTTATATATTGTTAATTGTTTTGTATACCCTAAAATTTCAATTTATTCTTAATTATTACATAAATTCGGGATCATGTGAGACCGGTATGTTTTCGTGAGATCCGTAAGACCATTTTTTTACACTTGAAACTTCATAGCAAAACGTGCCGAAGGTAACCTTCACAGTGTTAATGATGTGAATGTTCGGCTTCTTTTACCTATCACAATATTTTATCGTGAAGTTTCAAGTGTAAAAAAATGGTTTTACGGGTCTCGCAAAAACATGATGGTCTCACGTAATGTATAATTAAGTAATTTTTATAATTTTTATTTTAATTAATTATAATTATCTCTTTTTTTTTGATTGATCACGTTCGTTTCCACTCTCTTCTCTTCTCTTGTGATAATTATGTGATTGTGTAACCATAACCTATTAAAACCATGATCAATCGAGCGTAACCATAACCTATCGAAACCATGAGTAATTATTATGATAAATGTATGATTGCCTAACCCTACCGATTGAGACCATAATCAAATTGAGTGCGCAAGTGATATTATAATAGTGATATCACATGATTGTCACACTCATATCATACCAAATCGTTTAATGGATTTCGCATGTAATCGCTGTGATAAATGTGTGATTGTCTAATTCTAATCTATCGAAACCATGAGTAATCATTGTAATAAATGTGTGCTTGTCTAACCTAATCGATCAAAACCATGATCAAATCGAGTGCGTTGTTATGATAATGATATCACATGATTATCACACCCATATTACACCAAATCGTTTAGTCGATTTCACTCGTAATCGTTGTGATAAATATGTGATTGTCTAATCCTAATCGAATGAAAGCATGTTCAAATCGATTAATTGTGACAAGTATCTTGAATAAACTGTGTTCTATGACTTCTTCTTGATGTTCGATCCCTCCATGCAAACCTTACGGCTTCTTCTTGTCGATTTATTCTTGTTTGCTGTTTGTTTTCCAAACTTTATGGCTTCTTGATCTTCGATTTCTTCTTGAAATCCTTTCGTTACTTTATTAATCGATACCTTCTAATAAACGATAACTGTTGAATTAAGTGGATAACTCTAATTTTCAGGATTATAATGTGATCGTGCTTAAAATTTTATGATTTTGATTTCCATTATTACCCTTTCGAATCTCAATTTTTTTTAATCGTTTTAAATTTCAATTTTAATTGCAAAAATCTTTTAAATTTTAATTGTTATCACAATATGGAGTTAATAAGTTGTTCTTGCGTTCTCGTAAATCACAGGGTTTCTCGTTTGAACTTTTTCCTCTCTCTCTCTATATATATATATATACTAGTTATGTGTTCGTACATTGCAACATGATGCAGTCAAGTAACATGTAGAATTAAACATAAACAAGAGAATTGAATACGTTGAAACAAATTATCGTACAATGACATGTGGAAAAGTATACCAAAGAAGACATTTGGCAAACAAATACATAGGAGATACATTTATATAAGGTTCTAGCTAGTACCTATTTGGAGTATTTTGATTGGTCAACCAATCAACGTATTACAACAAAAAGAGGACCATAGGGTACAGAGATAATGGGAGCTGTAATATTCTTTCATTCCTCTTGCCGGTTGTTGTGAATTCATCAGACGATGTCTAGATCCTGACCTGGATACACCTCATTAACTAACTTGTTTATCTTTTGCCACATGGTCAACTCTGGTCTTAATCCCCGACATTAAGATATTGTGGTCTTTTTGAATCAACGGTGAGGAGAAAAGGAGAGAAAGAGAGAGTATTTGACAACCGAAACACTTTGATTGCTCATTAGTTGTAATGTCTGATCTTAGTGTTAAAATCATATCATTTCAATAAGGTTTCCTTTGTATCTTCTATGTTCAAGACACAACTCATGTTGAAAGAACTATACACTATATTGGTTGAACCATTTACGATCGAGCAGCTTTCAAGGCCTTTTGCCAAAACGGTTGGTCCATCTCAAAGGTCATTTAACTGTCATCCTTTGAATGTAGTAATAAGTATACTGATATCCCAAAACAAGTGTATCCAGTAACCTCATTCTTACAATCATACATAGTTTAGACAACACGACACATGTGTGTTCCTATGTGCTTGTAAAAAGATAACATCCCTTTTTTCAAGAAATATATAATTGCAAAATCCCAAAAAAGACGAGATTTAAGGATGATGTCTGCAGCTATGATCCTCCTTTTGAAAGCTAAAATCAAGTACGTTAACACATATTAGATATTGGATTTCTAACAACGTGTTAGTATGAATCAAATAACTCCACTGCGTAATGTAATACTAACAATAAGTTTTCCATAGAATCACAACAATCAAAAAGACAAACGCACTAAGAAACCAAATCTAAACTGGATCAGACAATGGCTACAGGTTATATAATTCAGAAGCAGAAGTTGAACGAGAACCTAACAGGCTGGTGAAATAGATATCCAAATAGCTATGACCCAAAGACTCCCAAATCTAATCCATGTATCAAAAAAGCGGATCAGATGAAACCATCGACTATGCAATCAGAAAGCCAACAAAAGTAATAAAAGTGAAGTCATATGAAGGAGCAAACAACAAATAAAAAAATCTGATCCATAACAAATCCCAAACAAAACTCCAATCCAGTCTCGACCTGATCCCAAATAGAAATTTCCTCTAATCCAAAATAACAACTAAATGCATTATAAGGTGACATATATATATATATATAGGGGTAGGTTCAAATGAAAACCATGTCATTCTAAAAAACCGTGTAAACCAAAATCGACCAATAGGAAAATTCCATTCTTTTTTAATTAAATTTAATAAATAAGGTCATTTTGGTCATTTTCATTATTTTTTTCATAAATAAGGAAGTTATTAAAGAATATTAAATAAGGAAATTTAATAATAGAAATTATATAAATGGAATGATTTAAAGATTTTAATATATTATAATATTAAAAATTGATTTTTTTTATTCAATGAAGCTGGAAACATTCATGAATATTTTATATTGTTATGTAATGAATGCATGATTTGAGGTTCATTGTATCAAAAATTACCGGTTATGAACCTGTTTCATATGAAAATGTTTCATATTACCAGAGTATAACATATTAATGATCATATGAAAAGGTTTCATCACGAAAAAACTGTTGCATATTATATTAATATGCGTAATGAAAAGGTTTCATCATAATGAAACGGGTGCATACTATATTTTATTTTTTATGCAATTAATGTTCATATGATAAGGTTTCATTATAAAATGTTTTATTTGCTTCTTTTATTTATATTGTATATGTTCATGTACTTTCAGTTCATGGTGATGAAACATTTTCATGTTCAAGTTTTCATGTAAATTCATAGTTGAGTTAGTGAAAATGAAACGGGTTCATGATGTAATAGACCAGTTAGTCATTAACCGCTTTAAGACTTGAAAAATGATGGTGGAGGTGAATGGTTTAGTAGATGAAATGGGTGCATAATATACTTTATTCTCTATGCAATTAATGTTCATATGAGACGGTTTCATTATAATATGGTTTATTTGCTTCTTTTAGTCATGATGAAACATGTTCGTATACTCGTTTCATGATAATGAAACATATTCATGTTCAAGTTGCATGGTGATCCATGTTGCATTTTGTGTGATGAGGATCCGTTTATTCGGATACTTGAAAATGAAACGAGTTCATTTACAATTGTTTAATGACTGTTGAACTCGTTTCATGGCCAACCACGTTGTAGAATTACGTAAGGGGTCAGTTCAGTGGATGTAACGTGTTAATTAGAATGAAACGGGTTCATAATTCATCATTGCAAAAAATGAATGAGTTTCAATATCAAATGAGGATAATGAAACTCGATCTTGCATAATCATAAAATTTAATAAGCGCATTAAACAATGAAAATTTTTCATTAACTAAAATGTAACGAATCCGACTACAAAGAAATTAAGAAAAACGAAATATGATCATTTATTTTAATTTTTAATGAAATTATTCATTATACATTAGTGAATGTGTTGTGTTTTGATTTTGATATAACTTATTGATGGATATTATTTTAAAAAATGTTAACATTAAAATAGTATATTACTTCACAAAGTGAATCAATTTCATTAATAATATAATTTAGCTGATATGGTTGCCTTGAATAAAAAATACTATGAATTAAATTTTAGTTAATGAATCGGAAAAGCAATCGAGGGGTTACAAAAGTGTTACCTTTGTTTACCGATTCTACCTTTATTGATGAAATAAAACCAATATTAATTATTTTTTAATTTTTAATTTCCTAAAATAAAGTAAAGTAATTTTAGCCATTGATCAAGAAAATGAATAGATGAGATTGGTTTACACGGTTTACACAAATGAATCAAGTTTTTATTTGAACGCTCCTATATATATATATATATACACACACACACACATATTAACCATCAAATTGTTCAACACAAATAAAAGTAAAAAGTTTTTACTCGTATTTGGTATGAATGAGAGAAGTGCATATATATAGATCACTTTTAAGTATTGGTTATCATGAATTCATATCATAAACATAGATTACATGGTTGTATTTTGCAAAACAATCTGACCAAGAAGGAGCTCCAGTGTTAATCTGACCCTGTTTTACCAATTTCTATAATTAGATCAGATAAAAAAAATACAATATAAACCACCTTAAAACTCTTTGTTCTTGTTTTTCTCTTCTCTTACATATGAACTGTTTTGCTTTGATATCTTTTGAGTGTTGTCTCATGATTTTAGAACAAGGTGTCACTGTATTAGACTTGTGACTTCAAAATTCAGTATTTCAAAAACTATTACTGTGAGCAATCCAACTGCAAGATCTGCAATGAAGGTATCCTTGGTTTCACCACTTCAAGGCAGGATTGAATCCATTCATCATATAACTATAAGAATTTGAATATTATCAGGTAATATAAGAATTGGGAAAGAAAGATACCATCATTCTCTGCTAAAGATAAAAATCATATCAAGTGACTTGTAGACATTCTTCAAACTTTTCCCTGAAAGCTTTTATCACCATCGTTTATATCAGATCTTTATAAATGATTTGACAGTTTGATTTAACTAATACGTAAAGTGTGCTTGTTTTTGGAAATGTCAATCGTATTTCTAGCGTTGGACATGTTAACACACATACGGTTAATGAAGTATATGCACGTGAGATGATACTTTGTCGCTTATGCAGTACTTTTTCACGTGATACAAGCTAGCCACTTGACCTGTTTGAACTTTATTTGGTTCGTTATTGTTAGTGTTAGAGTTTTTTTTTAATGACAAACAATAAACTTAGTTATATTAATTGTCATAACAAATGGATGGAGACTTATGAGACCACATGAAAACAGGGTAACATTTTCGTCCATCAAAATAAATTGTTGGTAAACGTCTCTTATCCACTAAGCGTTAATTGGGTAAAAATCATCTCATTCAGTTATTGATAAGACTTTTGATTCTTGTCATGCCTCTTAAGATTATCAGTCGTTACTATACAAATGGGGACCAGTGCTATGCATTCAATATTTAGATAGAAATGCAATAGAAAGTCAGATATCAAATCTCTATAAAGAATATGAAGAGCGTAAGTTTATTTGTTACATTTAACGTATATAAATATTTTTTATTTAAAAAATTTAATTGTGAAATAAAAAAGGAATTAGCTTTTTTGAATAAGCCCAATCTTTTTGATGATTGGCCCAATTTCTTTTTGTAGCCGACGCCCAATTATATGGTCAAGGCCCAAAAATCGTCAAATTTAAAAAGATTTGGGCCAATGATCAAAACAATAGTCAATAGTCAATAGTAATACTTGTTTTATTCTAAAATTTGTAATATTTAATTTTACAAATAGTAATGACTCTTGTGGTAAGAGTCGTCGCCTTCATTTACCGGGTAAGACTCTTGTTTCTTGTTTTATTCTTACCGGGTAAGATTCTTGGCTCTTGTCATATTCATTCGGTAAGGTAATGTGACTTGATAAACGCTTACTCGGGTAAGCGTTTGGTAATGCAAAGGTTTAAAAACTTATTTGAGAAAATTGGGCCTTGTGGTATAATATTTTTTCATCCTTGTGGTACAGTCTGCAATTCATTACTATTTTTGTTCTTGAAATTAACTCATACCTATAAGTATGAATGACGAAAACAAAAATAATAATAACAATAAATTTAAAATTATAACTAAAAAATTGAAAGCAATAATGATGAATATAGTAATTTTAAAAATACAGACACAAAAATAACAATTTTTAATAAATTACAGGGACTACAAACATCATTTAACAAACCACAGGGACTAAAAACGTCATGTACTCTATTTAATTGGGGGAAAAAACAATTTCTATGTTTTACAAAATTATTTACCAGCAATATTTCATTTAGATGGAGGTTTGATATCGTGTTCGGCTTACCTATCAGGGGACGAAACGACAGCGTTTCACACTTACGGAGTTATTGTAGTCGCTTTTGGAACAAATCTCTCTCCGTCTTCAGACCAAAACGAAGGCTTTCTGCAGATTTCAACCGCAGCCATGGCGATGCAAGCTGGAATGGGGTTTTCCAAGATCATAATCTTAGTCGGAGCAGGTTTCTTTTTTGATAGTATACTTATATGCATATCAGTTCTGTACATATATGTATATATACTTGATCCGTATTTATCAGATCTTTTAGATTTCAATCCCTAATATGTCTGCGTTTACGAGAGAGAGAGGGATTGAATTGATGTAAATATGGGCGTCTTGTGTTTGTAGGGTACACTGGTACGTTGATGCTGAAAAATGGTAAACTTTCTGATGTACTGGGCGAACTTCAGGTAAAATTATACTGTTATGATTCTCCGTAAACATTGAAGCACCTTTAATGACGTAKATTTGAACAATTTTGTAAGAATCGATGTACATCTGAGGTTAAATACTCCAMTTTTAGTTAMTTRTAGAATTTTATGTTTGGAAACGAGTTTTGATTTTTAAAGTGGGCAGGCTTTGGTGAAAGGATATGAAGAAAAGCAGGGGGGTGGAGCTGAAATTGATCATTCGGATGCAATTGCTGCCCAGGTACTACTCTCGTAATAAGCTGTTTATGCTTCAACTAGACTTGGACCTATTCTCTTCGATATATGTTGTTATGCCCGACACTCCAAACTGTGGGACATTTCTTCTTGTCTAGCCTCCGTGGAGGGGGCGGTGTTAGTGTTTTACACGACTGACCTATTCTCTTCGTATATGTTGGAACCTCGTTTCACTCCTCGAGGGCACTTTTGGAGAGCAGTTTGATGGGGTTCGATATATCTGATGGCTTATTTATTTATCATTTTTTTGACAACTAGAAGGTAACCTGATTTGAACAGCTAGGCAGAACCTTGATGGCATGCCTAGCATGTATCTATCACAAAATCAGAATGATGGGATTCATTAAGAAGAGATGCAAATACCTACATAATTTTGGCAAGCTCTTAGATGAGGTCATTAGGCTACATTGTTTCGTGGATTTTGCAAAACCAAACTTGTCATGACATCCTCAGCAAGGTTTTTTCCCAGAGTTTGACATTGGTTTAGCTGTTATTTGATTTAGTTAGATGCTTGATCATTTGGGCTGGAGGTTATAGTTGCAACCTGGAAATTCATGTCCCAATGGCTGTCTTCATACAGAGAAATGTTGAAACTTCAACACTGCCAAGTTAAACTAATTGTGTTTATTCACAAGTATATGTTTATCATCTTTCACAGTAACAAAATTTGCAGGTTCGTCGATTAGCAATGGAAGTTAGACAGATGGCTTCGTCAAGGCAGATCACTGTTCTGAATGGTGGTTCTAGTGGTATGTCCCCTCAGTCACCTCACACGTTTCTAATGCATTTCAAGTGCTTGCTTTAGGATTCATATTGCCATGCATTTCATGTATTTTTATTGTAATTGATTATATGTCTTATACCTTGGTGGACCACTATTGAGGCAACTATCAATTGCTTGTTGATAAAACTCAATTTGAGTTTCTTTGATCGCACATTTAATGTTGATGCAGGTAATGTAACATCTTTAGTGGTACCAGTTGCTACCTTGGGAGCTGTGGGTTATGGATACATGTGGTGGAAGGTTTGATTGTGTTTTCCTGTTCTCCAAATTTTGCATACCGGCTTAAATGGTTAATTTAATTTGTTTTGGATTTATTGTGCATATTCAGTAATCAAATGCAATTGATGTCTTGCACTCACACACATGCCAAAAGCAAATCTATAGAGAATGAAGATAAAATGAATTGTTTTGTTCTTACTCAAAACTTAACATTTTTTTTGTAAATGTGTGTAAATTTGGGTTGCTGTAAAGTGTGTAGAACTTGACAATATCTTTCTGTTGATGTGTATTCAGGGTTTTTCATTCTCAGATCTCATGTATGTGACAAAGCAAAATATGGCAACTGCTGTCTCAAACTTGACAAAACATCTGGAACAAGTGTCAGATGCCCTTGCTGTAAGTTTCTACTAGAGAGTTTCTACTAGAGAGATTAAGGGTATTCCTTATATTATCTGAATTTTTCCTTGCCATGCATATCAAAGTTTCTTAATGAATTAACTATGCTCTGAAGGATCGTATTTCTCAGCACTCATCTTTATTCCTAAACCAAAACCAAACCAAACCAAACACACTTAGTAAGTGTATGTCCTACTTGGAAGCAGGGTCTTGAGATGAGATGTACACAGACCTGTCCTCTACCCGAAAGAGTAGAATGATTGTGTCTGTGAAAATAAAATTGGAGATGCGGGGGATTGAACCCTTGTACCTCTCTTGTGCAAAGCGAGCGCCCTACCATTTGAGCTGCATCCCCGCCCTATTAGAAGCAAAACACCAAACAACACTGTGATAATGTTTTTATTCATATGCATAGTTTCTTGTTTGTTATACCCTTTTATGTTCGCTCACTTACATGCACATAACCTTGGTTCACTTCTACACTTCTATTGGTTCTTTTTGGAGGGTATATTAGTAAAGGTTTTGAGCAGACACCCTGAGTAATTGATAGTATCCTATATGGGTATCTGCAGGACTTTTGAGTGATTAGACTTATCTTAACAGTTATGACAGTCTTCAATTTGCACAACTTATAACCTATTTGTCATGGTTTGCCATCACACAAATTAAGTTCTAGGTGTAGGATTGTCAATGCGAGGGAGGGGGTATATTTGAGTTCTCAGTTTTGTCATATCATGTCTGAGCAGAGCACTTATCATATGTGCAAATATAGCATGTGAGTGGTATGAATTGTCTTCAGGTGAAGCCTGGAGTCAAAATTTGTTAAACTGAAGAGGATGCATATACAGATATCCTTCTTCCTGAAACTACAGGAACCAACTAAAGCTAAAACTAATCCAACCCCAAATTGAAAATGTTGATACCGTCCTATGCTGTTAATAACGGTGTAATAGCGGTTCGCGGTCCTGGAAGGAATTGTGGTGGTTAAATTGTGGTCCTAAATAGTGGTGCCGAGAATTGCGGTGCGATTTACCATTAATTGCTGTTTTTCTACAGAAAATAGCAGTCTGCGTAATCACTATTTGTGGCTGGGCTTTTTTTTCCTTCTAACCAGCTTATATTGGACCTATTTAAATGATTTGGGCTTTATTTTGGACTTGGACTTGTTTTTTTAATGATTTAAATCATTTAACCCATCTATTTATCTTTATCGGTCTACGATTATTTGATTTAGATTTTCAACATCATCCAGCATCCACCCATGTTTCCTAAATCCCTCCACCATCATTCTAAGTCTATTAGTGAATTTCTTTTTTTTTTTGGACTATTAGTCTATTAGTGAATTTCTTTTTTATATTGATTACACATAATATGTTTAAGATATTTATATTGTATAATATATATATATATATATATATATATTCATATATATATATATTAATATATTATGTATATAATTCTAAATATTTATATGAACTGCTATTTTTGGACCGCTATACTACCACTTTACCACCATGATAACCTCTACTTCAAATCATAGTACCGACCGCAATTTGGTATTTTGACCGCTGTAACAACATAGATACCGTCGAAACTGAACCCCCCCTGCAACTGAGAAACTGTGCAAATCCACAAGAATACTAAAAACACCTACAAGCAAACGCCTGACCCTACCTACCACCAGAACTGAAACCTGAAAACCAGACCTTGGAAAGACTGCAACCAACACTAAATAAATGGCTGAAAGCAATGACAACAAAAGCTTGAGTGACCTGCAAAGAGCAGCATCGATGTTAAGATCTGTGATGAAAGTTGACGAGTCCTGAAACATAACCCCCATCTGGAACTGAAGTTGATGACCACTGAAGATGACCATTTTGTCAGTAAGAGAGATCAAGAACAAAAATAGAGAGAGTTTAGGGGGAGTGGCACTGAGGCGACGAAACAAGAAGACAAAACCTGATGTAAAATTGTGGGAAGGTGATGAAGGATCTTGATATAACTAGATAAGATGATTTTGACAATTTTTAACTGTGTTAATTGCTTTGCATCTGGTTTCCCATTAAGGATTTAGAAGTATTATTGACCCCAATTTTCAGTGTCCAAGATACTTCTAAGCTGTAGGTGTTCAGGGAAATTTTATAAGACTATTTTAATTCACATCTTGTAATCATGTTCAACATGCTCCATCCAGAGAAGTCCTTCTTAAGCATTTATAATTTGATCATCCATCATACACCTGATGACTAAAATTCTTATTTTTCTTGAGTCTTTTGGGCAAAATGTAGTATTTTTGCCTTGTATGCAGTTTATAATGAAAGTTATCCATGCTCTGTGGATAGGGCTTTACTTCAAAAACATCTCCTTAAGCAATTAATACAAGGTGTTCAGTAATGTGCTTGAAACTTCAATTCAACATTATGAATTATGGCTTCCAAATGGATGACTGTTAACCGATAGATTTTTTTCTTTTAGTTATCTGCCCTTTTCAATCTGCAAATGCTGTGGCATCTTATTCCCTAAACTGACATCTTTTTTCTTTGTAAACATGATTCTTAAATTCTGTTTCTTGGCTGTTGTTCCATGTTACATCTAAATCGATGTTTTTCTTACATCTTTAACTGTTTTCTCCTAATCAGGCAGCCAAGAAACACTTGACACAGAGGATCGAGAACTTGGATGGAAAACTGGATCAGCAAGTGGAAATATCAAAGTTGATTAAAAGTGAGGTAAATTTGTTAGGCCGAATCTTTAGACCAATGTAAATAATTTCTATCAGGATTGGCTTAAGCATGGTATGAGGTTGGTCTGGAGGAGAATGTGGTTGGTATTTGCATTGATTTGGAAGCAATGACAATAGGTCAATGAGGGAAGTCTAGCTTCTGTTATGAACTTACTATTGAAATATTATTGACTTGAACTTGTGAAACAGGTGACTGATGTCCGTGATGATCTTTCCCAAATAGGCTACGACTTGGATTCACTAAATAGAATGGTTTCTGGTCTGGTGAGCGTTCTTTCATGCAATGTCTGTAATTGAGCATTGTTACGGAACAAGGCTTTTGTTTGCCTTGTTTTAGATGTTAGTCAAATTATTGAAAAATAACCAATACAATTAAATGACGGAGAATGTGAACAGAAGACCGTAGAAAGGGTCAATAAATTATTTACTCAAGAACTGCAGTTTTTGTTTCAGTATATTTAACACTTTTATGCGGAGGACACGTAACCCATATACACCATTATTCAAATGTACTTTTTGTACATTAAATAGGTTATTGGATTTTTTGCTGCTATTTCGATGGGACTGCTTAGCTTTTATGACGGGGCATTCCAGACCAGTGGCTTTTATTGCAGGCACCGCCTCATTTGATATATGTCCCTGAAGGATATATTATGTTGATGGCTTACCTTTATTTTTCGTAGAAAGTTACTTCAATTGTTACTTGAAAACATTATACCTTTCCTTTTGTTGCCTTGCCTACTATGAACTTATCTGCATATATGAGCTTTCAGAACTTGGTAACTCCTTGTTTTATTTCAATTCTTTTAACACACCTTATCATTTCCCTGCAGAATGGCAAGATAATGACATTGGAAGAGAAGCAGGTAAAAAACTATCATATCTTCTATGATCTCAAAAAGATAAGTATTTCAATATGCACTTGGCTCCAGCCCATCCCCCCTCCCCCTCAACACCGGGTATCATCTTAAAAAGAAAATATTAGTTGTGTTGTTCGTTAGGTTGGACAATACTTATAGGAGTACTCTTACTGACTCCATATTGCCAGCCAGTGATATCTAGCCTCCTAAGTCAGATACCCTCAGATATCTTTCTCATTTTTTGTCTCGTCTCTGAACTCTTGACTCTGGCTTCTCCCATCTTCAAGTAATAAGTTGCTGTTATGTTCTCTTTCTTCTGGACCTGGTTCTCTTTTCCTCTATCAATGGTTGTCTTTTACTTTTACACTGTAATCAGATTCATCTCATCTTTGCCCCTTTGCTTTTGCGTTCATTTATAGTAAACACCAAGGTAGCATTGTTTTTTTTTCACAATCTTTTATTTGTTTTTGCATGCTAGAAGTTTAAATTAATGTAATTGAATAATCATTACTAATCTACTAGAATTCTGTTATTCAATGAGAAGGAAAAACATGTTTTTTTCCGTTCAATTTTAGAATGCTAAAATGAAACTGACTATCACACAAATCATGTTTTCGTGAAGGAAAACGGAAAACAATTATACTTTTTTTGCTCTGACTCATCTAATTGTATACTGTCCCTCTGTAGTAGCTGTGTTGTATCTGGATGTGATTCATTTGGCATTTATTTTTATATTTTCTGTTTGGAAAATGGCATGCTTCATGCCATAAGGCCCATAACCACAAGTTGGATTTGGCCTTCGAACTTATTTAACTCCACTCAGTTTGTCACTTACTGCCATTCAGTATGAAGGAGATATATAGAGTTATGCATGTTTGTAAAGCAGAAGTGTTATTGATACAATTTGATAGCCTTACAAGGTCTTACAAACCTATAAACAGTGAAAACACCTTCCAAATCATTAATTGTCATCTTTCCATTGAACCCTTTAAATAGCTATTAGTTTTCAAACTTAAAAAGATCACAACGTGGGGAAGGACTTTCAAATCTCTTTAGTTTCAACTACTGTAGGTTCTACTATCAACACCTCACGCACAGTTTAATATCTGAATTTTGACCATAATTCTCTAGGGCAACTCATGGGGTTGCTTTTCATTTCTCTTCCATTTATGTTGGTCCATATAAATCAATCTTCCTGAGAGATAGACAGATGTGTGCTCGTGTGCCTACAAACATACACACACATATGTATATATAGAGAGAGATGTGTACCGGGTTGCGCACCATTTATGAGGTTATGACACCCTGAACAGGTGGGTCATTGCAATGGCCGGTTTCAGTTATTTTTTAATATTCATTACCTTGGGGGTTTGTTAAGATTCACCAGTCACGTATTTTAAGCAGTTAATTATTTCAATGGTGATTGGTTTAATTGTTTTTATAGTCGGCACACTTACGTTTTTCTTTCTTCTGTAAATAGGATCTGACTAACCTTGGAGTGTGGTACCTCTGCAACAAGGCTGATGGAAATAAGATCTCTGGCAAGGCACAGGTGAGATCACTGTTCTTATCTGCTACTTTTAGTTTGTTTCATATCAATGGACAAGAAGGTGATACAACTACAGAGTTGCATCACTAAACCAGAACAAAGGGAAAAGGGAAAATTATAGAGCACGAAAATCTAGTGGCCACCTAGTGCTAGAAGTTGAAATTTTGGGTTGTTTTAGCCATGTTATTCTTATAGGTTCACTATACCCCTACTCACACTAGACCTGTTTTAGCCATCAGAAAATGGAAACTCCCAGCCTGTTTGTTGCTACTTTAGAGAATGAAATTGTTATACATACAACTAGATCGATCTCATAAATATTATATCTATGATCATGCTACATGTCAACAGGATGAAAATTGACACATGACTTACATATTTATCATAAAAATTTATGATGTAAATGTTATGCACCATGGAGTGGACTTCTAACTCACACAATCTATCAATTTATCATGGCTGGCGACTCATTGTTGTTGTTTCTTCTCTTCTAGCACTATTCAGTTGGCTTGTATCGTCTAACCTGCATCAACTGAACTTGCATTATCTATTCTCTATTATAAAGCATTTAGGTTTTACCTCTTGAAAACTCTTTATTTTCAAGAATACAAGTATTAAAGCATTATGTATAAATGAATAATGCATAAAAAAAATCTTTCAGTTCTTACAATATTCTTGTTTTGCTCTCTGTAAACAATAAGAATGGAAGCTTGAAAGGTTTTTGGAAACTCATATTACCCTTTTCATATGAACTGCTCAAGTTTTGGAAACCCACAAATTTATCTCAGTTTAAAAAAAATCTAAATTATCTTAAATGTAATTTATTTTTTAATTAAAAAAATTATATAAACAAACGGATAATCCATATTGATATATAGAGGTGGGTTATTAGACAACCTCTTACATTTGTACAACCAATACAACTCAATCTCAACCGTCCATTTAATTTGATGAATATGTAATTTATAGAAGTTTTTGATTATTTCCTAATATAAAGTATTAATCATAATTAATAAACTGTATTCATCTTCCATAAATAATTAAATCATAATAAATGAACTCTCATTATTTCCATAAATATTTCAATTTATTGGGTTGCATTGGTTGTACAAATGCGATAAGTTGTATTTGAAACAAACTCTATTCTACAATATTTTATATATATTGGATTGTTTTAGCCATGTTATTCAATTTTGGGTTGTTTTAGTCATGTTATTCAATTTATTCAATATATTGGGTTGTTTTAGACAAGAAGGTGATACAACTACAGAGTTGCATCACTAAACTAGAACAAAGGGAAAATTAGAGAGCACGAAAATCTAGTGGCCACCTAGTGCTAGAAGTTGAAATTTTTGGTTGTTTTAGCCATGTTATTCAATTTATTGGGTTGCATTGGTTCCATAAATAAATATATATATATATATATATATATATTTCAGTTTTTTAAAATCGGTGTTCAAATTTTCAATCATGAGAAATATTTCTACAATATTTTTACTATATTATGCAACATTTACAACTTATTACATATGTGCAAATTATTAATACTTTGAACTTTAGAAAACTAAGGGGATGTTTGGTAGTTTTTTCATCAAGTCCTGTATGGGTAAAGCTATCGGTAGGGATTAAGATGTCTACATAGATAAAACTCAACTATTGTTTGTTCATTGTGCTGAATAAACTGTCTCAACGATAAAATTACCATTTTACCCATACCATTTGTTTAGTTTTATTTTCCTTATAACTTCAAGAACACTAGTTGTATAAATACAAATCTCAGGCAAGGTTCAATCCCTCATCATCTTCTTCAACAAACTTTCTGCCATATATACAGATGTCAATGATGAAAAACCAATTTTTACAAGCTCCTGGGTACCAAATCAACTTCTATCAAAATCCCATTTCCATTAAAACGTCAAAAAAAACTGTTAACGTCGAATCAAAATCCCCATCTCTCATAAACATCCGTAATTTTATCAACGCCACCAAATTACACACTAAAATCACATAATTTGATAAACTAAAACATTTAACTCAGGCACAAAGAAGCTTTCCTCAGTGTTGGAATCATCTTCCCTGGTTTGATTTCCAACCCTATCTGCTGCTTGGTAGAGAGCAATCACTACTCCTTTATGTTCTTTCAATGATTCAGTCACAAGTCGGTTTGATTCCCAACCCTACAGAGGTTTCCATGGCTGGAACTGAAAAAGAAAAAAGAATACGAGGGAGCCGTGATTTGGTAAGGGAACAGGTGAGGCAGGAGGCAGGGGCAGATGAAGGGAGATGGGGGCTGTTGGTGGTGCTGCAGGGGATAAGAAGAAGATGAGGGTTAAGATGTGGCAAGGAAAGGAATGTTTGATGAGGCTACGGTTTTGAGAGAAGAGGAAGAGAGAAGGATAGGGTGGGAAAGCTTAGAGCTTAACGGATACAAGAAAAATGGATGAGCTTAGCGAATAAGCATTTTGCTTACCAGTTAAGTCACAACCAAACATGTTTATATGGCTTACCGAATAAGCTATATAGGTCATTAAGCCTATTAAGTCAATAACCAAAAGCCCCCAACTCAATAACCAATTGATAAACATGCTCAAATACAAGCATTGAACCCTATTAATAAGGGCAAAATGCTCCATAAAACTGATAACCAACAGAGTACTCTCTCTTTCTCAAAACCACACAAATCCATAAAATAAAATCGAGAAGACGAAATAGAGATGTAATGCTCTGCATTGTGCTTGTACACTTCTAGCTGTATTCTATTCAATACAAATCGATTTGGTGAATTCTGATCAAAACCTTCATACTAGCATCAGATTTAGTTTATGGCTTATTCTTGTAACTACATCTTTTATCATTGACCTGTAAATGGCTTATAATGTTTTCCCGCCTCTTGATTACCTGCCCTGTACTCTGATTATGATTGCTTATTTCTCTTCAATAATCACAACAGGAACAATTCCGACTTGCTGGTAAATCCTTTGCTGGTTATCTCACGTCTGGGGGAATGCTAAATCTTGAGGTTACTTGCTCTCTCTTCCACTTCTACATTCTATAAAGATTTGCATGAAAATGTTGCCATGCCTTAGTTTGTGGCATAGTATTTGAATGAACATACACATGACAGTTTTATCGCGGATGCATCACTCTTTAATGGAAAAATAAAATTCAATGGCAATTATAGATCCTCGGAGGCAATTCCGATTTCTTATATATAGCCAGAACGGCCCTCACAAATTGCAAATACTAATTTGTTAAGCTTCACATTTGTTATGGCTCGGGCCTTTTATGGGGTTCCGTCAAGCTAGCTATATGTTGTGTATTATTTATCTATTTATTCATTCACCCCATGTATGTCATTTTGCAAGTTTTCACATTCAGTTAACTAAATACAAAATGAAAATAATTTCCATAAACAAAAAGATTCTCAATGCCGTTGGTGCAGCTTTTTCCTTTGCGCAAACTACTCCTTTCATAATATATTGCTAATTCTCAATACTATGGTTATGTGTATTTGTGGATTTTTGGCCCGTCATGATAACGAACCACAAGATAGAATGGTTTCATATGAGTATATGACATATTTCTTTCCATGTGATATCATTCTTTTCCAGGGCGTGAAGGAAATTGCCGACACTTTAGACTCAGATGATGGTTCCTTGGGGTCGGACAAACAACCAAGAAGGCTGACCAGGTATTTACATCACCTGCATTCTTGTACCCAAATAAAGTCTTGTTTTCAGTACAAACTCCCCTTGGCTTGATCCCTTGTTTGTTCCACATTATCTCTTGAGCTTTCTGAATCCAAAATCCAGTCACTTGAGAAGCAACTGTTGTTATGGCATTTTATGCATATTTTGACTCTTTACACATCCATTGTCTCATGGGAATTTTATTCACTCAAGTGAATGAGTCATCTATTCGTCATGTCGTTTCGTTGTCTAACAATTTTACTTGATCAAATTAAAAAAATTAAATTGCAGGCCCGGAACCAATTCTAGGGGTATGTTCATTTGAGAACCGTGAGAACCAACTATTTATGAATTATTCGTAATGAATATGGTGATAGATATTCATCATAAATATCATGAATAGTTGGTTCTCACGATTCTCAAAATATTTATGGTTCTTAACTCCCACCAATTCTAATCATTAGATTATTTATGGGGAAATTGACCAAAATACCCGATCTCCCTAAAAGTAAAATTGGTCGGAAAGATTTGCTATTTTGGCCAATTTCGCTTACTTATGTCTACAGTGACCATTGACTTGTACCTTGTGAGAAAGTTGTACTTTATGGTAAGCTCTCAAAAATCTTCATATGCTCATGATGATCTTGTTCTGCCATCGTTATGAAACAGGAAAAATACGGTCAAATTCAGTTCTTGAACGGAACAAAGAGGATATAGTGAAGATTACGAAAGATACAAGTCGTATACACAACGTGCATGATACTTATATATTCTTTATGCCCAATAAGCGAAAGCGTTGGAATGTAGTTTAATCATTTCGTGGGTGGTATATATGTATATACCTTGAAAGATGCATAAAGCTACGATTTGTCGCTGCGTGTTGTAGTGATGTTTTTATCTATGGTGAACGTATGTATGCATTTGGAGTTGATCATACCCATGAAGACATTGTAAATTGTTTTTCGATGCACAAATTTTGCGTAAATCGGCTTTTAAATGCACAAATCAATTTTGGTTGACATAGCTAAAGATCTATAACCATATGCAAGAATAAGTGGATAACTTTTGTTACCATAAATTAAACAAAAAAATAATAAAATTTAACAGATTACTCAACTGGTAAGTTGGTCGTTAGTTCAACTGATAATAAAATTCAATCCATCGGGGCTCCCCTCCATACGTCACCATTCGAGTTCTTCCGAAGCGACTAAAGTTTTTTGACTGTTCTTCAGGACCTCATAGGACTAATCAAGATACGTGCAAGATGGTCCATATTCCCGTGGTTAACTAGAAAAGGTTGTGGTTTACTTTTTGGTGGTCACTTGTTCAAGTTTTTTTAGCGTCATTAAAAGTTTGCATGGCGATAGACTTCAGGGTCTCATTTTTATAGACGATTAGGGTTTTAAATGGATTTTTATAAAATTATGATTTGAAAATTTGTTTCTTCTCATTAAGGTCTTAATTGGATTTTCATTAAGATAACATTCTCTATTTATTTATGAATAGTCTTGATATTTTTAGAGGGAAAATGTTGGAAAGATTAGTGGTGGTTGAGATTGAAATGAAATTACTAACAACACTTTTGGGTTCGTTTACTCATATGTTTACTAGTAGCTAATTTACTGGATAAGATTGTAGTTCATCAAAACAGTATCGTATGCAATAATTTATCCAATAAACGCTTACCAGGTAATAGTCGTCACCCTCACTTATCGAATAAAACTCTTGGTAAGATACTTGAATGTTTTTATCTTTTAATATGATGTGATACAGTAATTGTTGTTGATTCAACCTCTGAAATCTTTAATAATATTTGTTACTATAATATAACAGTTATAAATATCAAATAAATAACAACATAAGGAATATATATAAATTGAAAAAGAAAAAAAAATGCAAATTAATCTTTTTTTTATAAAAACAAATAATATCAAACTATATTCATTTTCTAATTGGGCTTGGGCCTCATTGTAACGGGTATATAATTGTTTATCTTCATTATGGTTATTTAGAGGTTGTTTGATACAAAATAATTAAATGGCTTTCATGATATATAATTGTTTGATAATTGATTACAATAGGCATTGAATGATTAAGAGAGGCTCGGGATGCAAAATCATTCAGAGAATTTTGAAACCATTAAGAGGCAGACTTTTTTTTTTGTCAAACAAAATTCACCTCTTAATGATTCAGATGTTGTCTTTTAATGAAACTATTAAGAGGTAAACAAACAACCCCTTAATACCATTTTGTTTGATTTTATGTCATATTAGATTGTTTAGATAAAACTTTTTGTTCATCATAAAAATATAAATTAATCTGAGTCGTATTGATTTCTCTTGAATAAATAAATTCATTTCTGATCCATTTTACTTTGTTTGAGGTTGTCTCTCTTCATTATGGTTAGAGTATCGGTTCATATAATATTGAATTCCACTGACGTTTGTCTTAAATTTTTCGAGCCTAAATCGATGTCATCAATTTCTTTTGTGATAGTGATAGCGATCAAATACTAAATCTAAACTTAAAGGTTTCTAAAAGAGGAAATGCTAGGATTCTGTATCTGTCCTGATAGTGTTGTGCTTATTTAAGAAAGAGAGAGAGAGAGAAAAAAAAAAACTTTGGGGATACGTAGTCAATGGCCTATAAGGAAGAAATCTCCACTGTTTTTGCTCTTCTTTTTGGCCTCTGGGCTTTTTGACTGTCCAACTCAATATCTTAAAATACAAGTCATCTTATCTGCTTTTCGTGAAAAAATACCAATATCAATCGTAACATAAACTAATTTTTAAATCTACATAACAAAACTAAATACTATTTTTCAAGGACACTAACTTCATTATGTAACCAAAGGGTCTTTGGCCTAGCGGTATCGTAATCTTTGGTCTCCTAAGAGGTCAGGGGTTCAAACTTCACCAAAGATGAGAAAAATGTATGAGTTTATTTATTGTATTTATTGTATATAAATATTATATACTTAAAAAAAAACCAGTATCTATATTTAAACTTGCCATACTCCTTATATTAAATCCTATATGGTTTCCAAAATTTTAAACCACATATTATTGTTTATTAAAGTATTTACAAAACCCCAACATACAAAAACAAAAACCCATGTATTATGATATATGTCATTGGGTAGAATCAAAATGACATATTCATACATATCTCTTTTTATTTTTTAAATATTTAAAAAGGAATAATTGTTTATCTATCTTATCGGGTGAACATGATAAGGATGGAGAATCTTACCTAGCAGCGAGGGAGAAGTTTTACCCAGTAAGCTTACTAACAATTTTTTTTTAATGACCAACAATATTACTCAATAAAATGGGAGTAGTTACTTTTGCAGGTAAGTGTTTATCAGATAAATATATCAGTAAATGAGCCATTAAAATTAAATTTCCTTTATTTATTATTACTAGAAGGATACTTGCGCAATACAGCGAGATAAATTTCGATTTTAATGTTTAGTTTTTATTTTTTGTCTCTATCGATATAATACGATTTTATGTGGTTTTGAGAAAGCGGTAGTGTTTTTATTTTTGAATGAAATATAAATTTGAAGTAAAATAAATCGATATTAGTATCAAATTAACTATTTAATAGTTCTCGTTTTTTTTATGTAACTTCTTTAATTCAATTTAAATTAGATTTAATAACAAAGTAATTTATTTTTTTTGTTTAATAATATAATTTTTTATAAAGATAATAATTAAACATTCTGTTAAAACTCAATTATTCTCTCAATTATATTTTTGATTTTCTATATTTAAAATAGATGTTTATCTGCAATTAGTTACACGAATTTAAAAATGAAGCTTTAATAAGTTGTACTTACACAAAATTACCTGTAATCTTGAACTTTAAGTAATATACATCAATAAACAGTCTTCATGCATTAAAAATGATTTTTAAAATTTTTGTCAAATAATTTATAAGAAGAAATAGGACTTGTTCAAACTCAAAAAAGATAAGATGAAGTCATGGTCCTCAAGAGGCAATGAGAAACATCACCATCCATCATACTTCGTCAACTTAAGAGGGTCAAACTTTATAGGCTTCTTTCACCACAACCATTCAACAAAGCATACAACAAAAAATGGGTACAATAAATTAAATTATTATTTATTATTTATTATTTATTATTATTATTATTATTATTATTATTATTATTATTATTTAATTTTGTGAGGTGGGTTTGGTGGTATTTCTTTACATTGTTTTCATGACATTAATGAATGTTGCTCAAGATTCCCTTCAACAAAATATGGATTATTGTGTTCATCTCTCTACACAAAAAGATAACATCTCTTTATCAACTTTTTCTTTATTTTTCAATAAATATATGTGATTTTTATTGGTTTTTGGTCTAACGGTATGTGAGTCTTTGTTTTTTTAGGAGGTCAAGAGTTCAAATCTCGGTAAAGATGAGGAGGGTGTGTGGGTTTATTTGTTCTATTAGTCGTACATAAATATCATATACTTCAAAAAAATTGTCATGAAAGAAAATATAGAGAACTTTATTCTGAATTATCTATATTATATTATAAAATATTTGACAAAAACTCTTAAAACCATTTTTTATGCATGAAGTACTGTTTATTGATGCATGTTACTTAAAATTCAATATTACAAGTAAATTGTGCATAAGTACAACTTATTAAAACTTCATGTTTGAATTCGTGTAACTAACTGCAGATAAACATAATCAAATAGATAATAAACATCTCATTTTAAATTTAAAAAATCTAAAATATAATTAAGACAATCATTGAGTTCTAACAAAATACTTAATTATTATCTTTAAAAAAATTATATTATTAAACCAAAAAGTAAAAAAAAATGAATTAAAGAAATACACAAAAAAAAGAGAAATTTTAAATAGTTAATTTGATACCAATAACAATATTTTTTTTAGTTTTTTTATGATATATCTTTATAACATCGACTGAGATATAAATATATTAAAATTGATTTGTATCTCGCTGAATTGTGCGAGTATCTTTCTATTTTTTAATAAAGGGTTCAAGTTGAAATAACGTTTTCTTCTATTAGTTAGACCATTGAACAGAAAAGACGTAATATCTGAAAGTTTTTGATAAATAAGGATGTCTTTTTCAAGGGAATTTAGGATCAGTGCTTTTTCTACGGTATATAAATAGTAGGATTTCGTAGTTTGTATGTAACATTTATCATAGAGAACTAAATTTATTTTTGACTTTGAACGAAATTCTAACTTTTTCTCTTCTTTAAATGTCGATGTAACGTAACCTATTGCAAATTGAAATCAAGAGTAACCGAACGTCATAAATCATCAATTACGTTACTGATGAATTGAACATAACAAGGACCAATAATCTTACCCAGTAAGAGTGATGACAATATCCAATAGTCTTACCCGGTAAATGGAGGTGACGACTTTTACTCCGTTGGCGCTTACGAATAAATTGTCGCATACGATGTCTGTCTTGATATATATATATATATATATATATATATATATATAATGATATGATCCAAGTGAAAAGAAATTAAAAGTGAAGAAGGCAATAAAGAGAGAAATGGCAACGGGAATCATTGCATCCTCTTTAAATAGACTTGATTCATAAACAACCCATACTTTTCCAAAAGGATTTTTAATTTATACACTTTTTATTAAATATACCAAATAATTAATTCATGGATACATATTCCACTTTTGTATTAAATATCATGATAATATATGTATAAATAAGATGAAATCTGATATATTTCACTTCAAATTAAGATACAAATATACATGATTAGATTTTCGTGAGACTCGTAAAACCATAAAATAAAATTGAATCTTTACAGTAAAACATTGTATAGATGTAAAAAACACTGAACTTTTACAGCAAAAAAACTATGAAGATTTTACCTTCACAGTGTCTTGTTGTGAAAGTTTAGTGTTATTTATATGGTCTTACGAATCTTATAAAAACATGTTGGTCTCATATG